ACAGCAGAGTCCACACCCCTTAAAGTAGCCAAGTTTGAAAAACACTGGTCTAAAGCTTTAAAATGCCTTTTTTTTTAATTCAAGGAATTCCTTTAAGGCATTTTGCTTTCCTTCAGAAGTATGCAGTTTATTTCTTGGCATTGTGAAGCTATGCCATGGGATAACAGATGTTTCACACTGGTTTTTTTTTTTTGCATCAGGCAGCTTCTTAATTTGTAACTTTACATTTCCTTCCCTTTGCAGCTGACTCAAAGGATGAGGCTGACAAATGGCTTTGTGGGTTGAGTATTTTGCATCAAGAAGCTATAAATGCAGGCACCCCAGCAGTTACAGAGAGGTATGTGGAAGAACTGTTTTGTATTTTTGTATATATATATTTTTTTCTTTTTTACGATAGCCTGTGAGAAATTTTGGGTTTAAGTAGGGTTAATTACTCATGGTAATTTGAGGTCCTCTAAAGGCTGATATGTAATACCATAAGTATCCTTTGGGGCAGGAGGTCAGGTGGTTTACATGCACAGTGTGATGTCATCAATATGATGAGGTCATTTTGATGTCATTGTGACTTCGACCAGATGTCTACAGTCACTGCTGCCCTTACTCCCTATATAGGATTGGCTGGTTTATCTTTTTAAATGAGTTTCTCCAGTTGATCTAAGGCAAAGATCTCCAAAGTAGTCAATATTGACTCCCAAGGTTTGATGGGGCTATCCAAGGGGACAGTGTTGTTGTTGCTGTTGTTATTATTGTTCATAGTACTATTAAAGTCGTATGTATTAAGTTATTTTCACATAATAAACTTTTGGGGGTTGATGAACTATCTGAAACTTCATGAAGGAGCTGAAGAGTTTGGGGACCCTTGGTCTAAGGGCATCTTTTCCCTCAGCGTTATGCGTATTGGAAGGAATTCTACAGCAGGCTGAGACACTGATCAAATGCAGTGACGTTGGTAGGCAAAGCAAATGGTTGTAGGATTAAAAAAACTACATGGAATTGGCATAGTCTAAAGTACGGAGAAGGAAATGCTTGCTAACCCATTAGTTTCCTATCCAAATCATATATCCAGATAAGTTACTTCAATTACTTTGCCCCTAATCCCTCTAAATCAGCAGAACCTCACAAGATAAAAAAAAAAAAAAGGTAGCTACAGGTTATGCTAAAAAAGGTCAAGGTGGCAGCCACAACAATGTGACACTCATAAAAAACAGGGGGGTTGAAAAAGTCAAGATAGTGGCCGTACCATGTGATCAAAGCCACACAAGGAGGACCCTCTCCTTGCTGACACCCCTGCTTACAGCCATGGTATACCTTGGGAGTCTCCCATCCAAATGCTAACCAAGCACGACCCTGCTTAGCTTTGAACCCTGAGAAGGTTGTCTAGGTGCTGGTACCTGCTGAGATTGTGATTCAGTTTCGGAAGGGTTAATTGGTGGCTGGTGGCAGGAATAGGAGCTCAAGAGGAGTGAAGAGGAGGGAGAGGATAAGTTGCATGGAATGAAGAAAGAATAGGCAGATTTGTCAGTAGAGATGCTGGGGAGGGGGAGATGAAGCAAGGCAGCTTGAAAGAGTCAGAGAAAGCTGGGAAAGAGAAAGGAGCCAGGATTAGACTCCCCATGGAACTGTGGTTGCCTCTCCTGCTCTTCCCTCAGAACCATAGCAGAGGAGGAGGTTTTCTCTGAGTAACATCTTTTCATGAGCCATAGCATGGAGCAGGGAGACACTGTTCTCTCCATCAAAAGCCAGGAACTACTGTGCAACCAAGAGAAGGCCCTCCTACTCAGATCATTTAACTGTTCAGTCAGGATCATTGCCTCCTTAACCACCTTAACTCAAACACATATATTTCAGAGCTCGTGCATCTACTTTGCAAATCTAGGGAAAGGTTCAAAGAGTTGCTGATAGGTAGAGTGATGTGCCCTTAATGGATCTGAAGTACCTTCATCCACTTTGGACTTGAATGCACACTTATCATCATCTCCATCTCCATCTCCTCCTCCTCCTCCTCCTCCTCCTCCCAGCTTCCATCTTTTTCTATCTTCTTCACCTTTTCTTCTTCCTTTTCTCTCGTTCTTTCTTTCTTCCTTCCTGAGAAATCTGAATAAACCTTCCTGAAAGGGGATATGGAGATGAGTTATAACTTACAGTAAGGACTGGCTCTTTCTTCTCTCTATGAAAATCACCACCTTATATCGCAGTTCAGCTTCGAGAAATAACTTTAATTGACACTAATAGATAGATAAATATTTTGTATTCCAAGACTGCCAGTGGCTCTGGAGTAACAAATGAAGTTTCTTATTGCTGCCTGAGCTACCTAAAATGCTTTTCATTGGAAAGGGTTCTCTTCCTTAATCGCAACATAAGTGTCCCCTTGTCTTTGTCCCCAAAGAGCAGCAGTGCAGTCTACAACTGAACAGCATTTGCGAGAATGGCAGACCCAGTGCCATGTCCCTGGGCCATGAAAAGAGCTATGAAAGAAGCAGTTGTGTTGATGGGCTGCCGATTGTGGCTCACGGTCAGACCTGTACTGAGAAGTGAAGTTGTGCTTTGCTCACTACTGCCTCCAGTGGCTAATGGCAGTAGCTTCTAAGAGGAGACTACCAATCTTATCTGAAGTTGCCCAAGACTGAATCTGGGATCTTTGGCATGCAGAATGTGTATGTCTATTGGGCTGTGGCCATTTCCATTGAGATCTGGAATAGTTGGGTGTTACTATGTCTTTGAGAGCCAGTTTGGTGTAGTGGTTAAGGCTCCAGGCCCAAAACTGGGAGACTCTGAGTTCTAGTACCACCTTAGGCACAAAGCCAGCTGGGTGACCTTGGGCCAGTCCCTCTCTCTCAGCCCTGGGAAGGAGGCAAGGGCAAACCACTGTGACTTGTCCAGTCAGTGGCCAGGAGTCAACACTGATTTGAAGGCACCCCCCCACCCCAAATGTCTTTAATAACCTTTGGATGAACACAGGTTGTATCATTGATTTGTTGCTGGTGGACTTATGGTTTTTTCAGCAAGGGCATTTTGCCCCAAATCCATGACTGATTGCCAGAGGCAATTCTGAGCATGCTGTTGATGATACACTAGTCTTAGCTCCACGCTAAAAGTGACCAGAATGATCTCTGTAGTCATAAAAGGTGCATTTTTCACACTCATACTTTATCCCGTTTGATGCTTCAATGTAAGGTATACTCTTCAGAATCTGTCCCACAGTCATGGAAACATGAAAAAGATACTTTGGTGCTCTTTGCTCTTCATAAAATATTATGTATTGAAGCAGAAGCATTTATTTCTGTTTTTACGTTTTATGTGTTGAAATTACAACATATCATTAAGTCTAGTCATCTGTTTACAAAACTAATCCATGCTGTATTTTTATTTGTTCTTTAAAGCTGGCTCAGAAAGCTGATTTACTCGGTGGATCAATCCAGAAGAAACAGGTACATGTTCATTTCAGGTTTCAGAGTTGTGCTCTCTTTTTCTCTATGTGTGTTTTTGTTGCAATAAAGTCATCAGAACTTTTTAAAAAAACCTCTCCTAAAACCCGATGTGAATAGGCCTACGTTTACTTTTAGATAAATCCTTTATTTATGCCTTCTGTGAGTTTGTGATTTGAAAAGTTTGGTTGAGTCAGGAGCAGTTTCTATATTGGTTCATAAACTGGATCAATTTTTTTCTGATTTAAAAACTACACGAATGTAGGTGAGGCAAATAAAGCTTGAGACAGTATTGGGAACCCTGACAGTAATTTCCAAGCCTAACCTAGAGTTTGTCAGGAGCTTTGGTGTTCAGAACTAATGATGATGCTCATAGAAGTGGAACGATTTGACACTAACCATATGGAAGAACGGTTGGTGAAGTTGACAGATTGTGCTGAAATTGATAAATGGACTTTTTTTGATTAGAGAAAAGACACCATCTACATTTATTGGTGACTGGAAGCCTCTTATGGACTTTTTGAGTAAAAATGAAAAAAATGAACATGTGATTTATGGTTTTGATGATTATACAGGATGGATTATAGAAAGAAGAGTAATACGATGTAATTAGAGTAGAGAGAGGTTAAATATTTTGTACTTATAACTGCTATGATGAATATCAGAAGCCTTTTATACCTTTTTTCTTTCTTTTCTATTTTTCCTCAACTTTTTTCTTTACTTGCACTTTTTGCTTTTCTTTGATTTCTTTATATTTCTTCCTTACTTTATATTAGTTGTGTTAGTTTTTATCTTCTTGTTTAAAAGCTTTAATAAAAGTTATACTAAAAAAAAAAGAACTGAGGTTGAAGCTCAACTGTGCAAGCAGGATTGGAATAAATATCAGAAGGGGGGGATGCGTGTGCACACACACACACACACTTGCACACAGGGTGTACCAAAAGTCAGGCCCCATAGGCTAATCACAATGTTTTATTAATTTAATTAATGATTTTTTTCAGAGAAAATGTTACTGTACTTAGTAGTATTCACAGGTCATGCATCAACTAAGTAAGGAAGTGCTTAGAAGAAAATGGAAACCAATTTGAACATTTAATGTAATTTATATAATAAATTATCCCTGGAGCCTGACTTTTTGATATACCCTCTGTGTGTGTGTGTGTGTGTGAGGGGGGGGGAGGGAGGGAGGGAAAGAAACACATACACTCCAGGCTCTTGGCAAAGGTCATGAAGATACGATCACCAAAGGAATTTTGTGGTGCCCACTGTGCCATAGAGTTTTGAAAGTTTATCCCATAATATTCTGCTGATAGGTTGTCACAGGTTCTCTGTCTGGATTTAAACATTGCACTAAACCATAATGTGGCTTGTCTGGTTTCAGCTTACCATGATGTCTGAAGCTAGCATTGTGGTTTGTCAGCCCAATGCAGCTGGGATTTTCAAACTGCAATTCTGTCATTCTTTAAATGATGAATGAATTTTCATGACTTCCCCCATGGATAAAAGTAATGGTTTCTTTGGACTGTGTTTGGACAAGAAAGAAATATACCACTTGTAATATTTGGCTTTTCCTGTATATATCATAGAAATTCTCAATCTGCCCACTGTGGGTTTGGCCAGGCAAAGCAGGAATGAGTTCTGATGGTACTCCTGCTTTGCTATATAGATTTGCTTAAGTTTCAATCTAAAGTAATCTTCCTTTAAGTTTCTAGCAATCTCCCCAGGGGTGGGGGTGGGGACGGGTCACAACGCACAATCTGAATGCCTCCACAATATAGTATAATAAAAGCGAATGGAATGGGATTCAACAAATGACAACTAAGGCCCACTTTTGCAAACCCCTAAGAAATGTTGAAAATAATGCCACCAATAATTGGCAAAAAAGTTATTGATTTACTACACTGCATTTTTAAAGAGTTTATGGGAAGAAAGGGAGAGATAAGTATCTAAACCTTTTGCAAGATGTAATGAACATCTTTTTCACTAAAACCCTTCCCTTAAAAAACAATGAGTCTTAAAATGATTGCAAGATCAAATAAAATCTGTGGAGAAGTACTCTCTCCTTGCAAGAGGTGACATTGGGGTGACAAACCAGTCCTCAACCCAGGTGGAAAGGGGTCGGGATAATCAACGTTCTCCAAGAATATTTGCATGCACAGAAGTTACTCTGTCAAGCAGGTTGCCCCTCAAAAGTGTTACGTGTAATGGAGTTGGCATAAATCTCCATATCCAGGGAAAACTTTTCCAGGAGTCTCATTTAGGTGGCTGATGTCATCCTGGAGGTACACTTCTGAAAGTCATACATATTTCATGATTGTATCTGATGGCAAATGGCTTAGCTCAGGGCCATCTTGAAGCAGAGCATGACAATAGCATTAGCACACCTTTTTTTAATCCAGGGTTTCCATATTCTGCTGTGGCCTACCACTGTTTTATTTTTGCGAACCAATTCAGTGAAACTGAAAACTGCTTCCTATGGAAAGTTGCTGCTTATCATGTAGCATTTAATCCCAAAGCACCTCGTTTTATATTCATGTTCATTCTTAATTGGCTCAGTGCAGTTATTCTAGTTCCAAGCTGGCTATAGAAAGCCTGAAGGCAAATTTTGATTGTGACAAAGAAACTGGTTGAAAAAGGCAAGGAACCATGTCTGTGGAAATGGTTCTTCAGCCTGTGTTATTGTTGCGTATCAAGTCATAAGATGCCAGGTCAAGAACTGGATTAGCTTCCCCAGGAGCTGAACTGGTGTGACCTAGACTGAGTTTTGAGTCTCAGGAGAAGGGTGAAAGGCCCAGCCCATCCTGTTATTTGATCCTAGCTCACAACATTATGCTCGCACCTGTGTTTAGATAAGAAACAGTACAATAAAGAAAGAGTGTGATGAATGGGAGATCCATGGGGCAGCAGAACCTTTGTTGCTGCCCTAACTGTGCCCCATCGGACCTTGGCTGCCTCTCGACTGTGTTCATAACACCAAATAGTAACACAGCTGGTGTTATCTCAAGATTAAGGAAGTGAGAGGGTGCTGCTTCTAACTTTCCAAATTCAGTAGAATTGTTGGAGTGGGGAGAGTTGACCCTCTTGAGAATCTTGGAAGGAGAAGGGTAGGTTTCATGCACATGTGTTGTGTGTGTAAAAAAACATAACCCAGGTTCAACTTTTGACCTTCACAAATGAAGTATCTTCATCAGTGAGGTTCAAAAACATCTTTCCCAGCGATTTTAAGGACTTTCTAGCTGCAGTTAATTCCTTTAGCTAATCACATGAGAAAATTTCAAACCAGAGCTGACAATTTTACTTGCCCTTCCCTCTCCTGGCAGTCTGACGGTGTTGTGATTTCCCCACTTGTCGTCTTTGTGGCTCCTGTGGGAAACAACTATTAGGGATCTGCAGCACTTTGCATCCGAAGTGAAAAGGTGCTTCAGGGCAGGGTTGAGCACCTGCATCCTGCTTAGTCATGTGGTTAAAGAAACGGCTTATTTTCCAGGGCTGACATGGAAGGGATCCCCAGGGAAATACATCTTTGAGATCAGGAAGCACCAACAGAGTGCAACAAAGTGCTTTGGAGTCGGCTTGAGCGTGCATGTATTTTCCTGGGATTGTGCAGCTCCTGAGCAACCCAAAGAAAGTTCCTGCTTCTTGGAAGCGTTGATAACCCTAACCCTTTCCTTCTTAGAAGCCGCTTTTCAGCTTCGGATGAGAAGCGCTGCGCATCCCTAAAACAAGATAAAATATTCCCTCTCATCTACCGTACTCAACATGCCATTGTTATTTGCAATGGAACTTCACCAATATTTGTATAAAATAACATTATCTGGAGAGCCAATTTGGTGTAGTGGCTAAGGCACCAGGCTAGAAACTGGGAGACCATGAGTTCTAGTCCTGCTGTAGGCACAAAGCCAGCTGGGGGACCTTGGGCCAGTCCCTCTCTCTCAGCCCTGGGAAGATGAAGGCCAGGGCCACCCACTTCCAAACTCTGCAGCGACTCACCCATGTAGTCAACAGGAGTCAGGACTAACTGAAACAAGAAAACTAGTTTGGTGTAGTGGTGAAGGTGTTCGACTAGAAGCCAGGAGACTGTGCGTTCTAGTCCTGCTGCAGGCACAAAGCCAGCTGGGGGACCTTGGGCCAGTCCCTCTCTCTCAGCCCTGGGAAGATGAAGGCCAGGGCCACCCACTTCCAAACTCTGCAGCGACTCACCCATGTAGTCACCAGGAGTCAAGACTAACTGAAACAAGAGAACTAGTTTGGTGTAGTGGTGAAGGTGTTCGACTAGAAGCCAGGAAACTGTGCGTTCTAGTCCTGCTGCAGGCACAAAGCCAGCTGGGGGACCTTGGGCCAGTCCCTCTCTCTCAGCCCTGGGAAGAAGGTGGCAAGGGCCAACCAGTTCTGAAAAACCTTGCCAAGAAAACTGCGGGGGCTAGTCGCCAGGAATCAAGACTGACTTGAAGGCATCCCCCTGCCCCCCAATTATCTGAATTTAAATAGTTGCTTTTTTACGTGACAGTGGGAACTTGTATTCTTGGCATATTCAGCAGTTACAATCCAGGAATCCAAAACGACAGTTTGCGTGCAGGTTGGCAAAAGCTTTGGATATTGTGCTTTGCAGAACGGTTGGGAATCTTTGCTTTAGGTATTCTACCTCAATGAGATGGGCGGCATGCAAATTTGATAGATAGATAGATAGATAGATAGATAGATAGATAGATAGATAGATAGATAGATAGATAGATAGATAGATATTTGGGCAGATCTTTTTGGAAAATACCATTTTGAAAGAATGGTATGAAGTTGTTTTTGCAGTACGCTTCCAAGATGGAAAGAATTAAGCAACGGAATAACAAGTGACTGTTTTCCTCCTAAAATACGACGTCGTATAATGAAAAGACAGTTTATTAATGTAGCAACTGACACGAGTGAATTAGTAAAGTGTACCTTTCCTGTATGTTAGAGTGTACTTCATCATTTCTGTCAAATGTAGTCACTGTGTGAGTTCAAGGCACCATCCATCGTTTCTCACTGTGCAGAGTGTTGACAATGTTGTAATTAAGCATGGCCTTTAGACTTTTTCGTTCATTACGCATGTTTTTCCTTCACAGAGTGAGATCAGAGAAGCACACAAACGCTTCCTGTCTTACATAACCAAAGCTTTCATTTAAGGGGGGATTTTTCCATAGATTGTTTTTCTAGCCACGAAACGCTACAGCCGCTTTGCCAGGGCAGGTGGAAGTCATGGAGCTCTCTCACCACTGCTTCTGACCAGCATCATGAACCTCTGGGCTGGTTTCATTGGTGTTGTGTTTTGCTGTTTCTGAACACGCAAAAGTTCCAGGTGGTTCTTCTGCTTTATTTAATTTGGGCCTGAAGCAGATGTATTCACTCAGAATCGTCAGCAGAAAGCTGTTCTCTATGGCTTTTCACTCTGAAGGTCTGAGGGTTGTAAAGGAGTCTATATTTTCAGTAGTGATCCCTCATTTCTGAAATGTACTCTTCACCAACCTGATTTGGGAAGACTCTTTCTGACGCCTGTCTCAAAGTCCTTTGGCTTCCTGAGTTTTTTTTAGTGACATATGCACGTCATTTCACAGGTAGTCTTTGTTTAGCAACCATAATTGGGACTGGGAACTCAGATGTTGAGCAAAGTGGTCGCTACGTGAAACCACAACGGTGCTTATGATCTTACCTCACCTTTCCTTTGCTTGACAGAACTGTGAAGATCGTAAATGTAGGGATTGGTCGTAAAATTAGTTTCTCATCACTGTCATAACTGTGAATGGTCGCTGTATGAAGCAGTCGCTAAGTGAGGACTACCTGTACTAGCTGTCTCTATTGAGGCTGTATGCATGCTGTGTTGCTGTATTTTTTTTCTTTATTCTGGTTTTGTGTTTCGTTTACTTTAATTCCTTTATATGAGTACTTACTTATATTTGAACATGTACATCTCTTACAGCTTGCGTTTTATAAGTCAGGTAATGAATACAATTGCATCATGTCCAATCTGATTATCAATCCTTTCAGCCTACTATATCCTGGTAGTGGCTCTTATCCCATAATTTTTCAGGTGGAGATGCAAAAGGCTGAACGTCTTTTTGCGTGTAAACTCTGTGTGTTCTACAATGGGACACTTCCACCTTCCCAAAAGTTGAGGAAATGCATTTTGAAAAAGAGCAGAGTGTCTTGCATGTGTTAATTGATAGCAATAAACACATATTTTAGCATATGTATTGTAATACAAATAGACATACAGGTTTTCTTATGTTAATGGAGAAGACAGTGACCAGTGAACTATTGTTAGCCCTGTGAGGTAGTCCAGACAAGAAGCACAACCAGGAGTACGAGCTCTGTCTTTATTGTAAGGTTACACTGAATCTTGGAAGAGTGAAAGTTTTTCTCTCCTCCTCTCCTTTTACTCTCTGGAAAACTAGGGAGGGTCCCTTCTGAAACGTCTCCCACACCCTCCCTCCTTCTGTGGACTGAGACATCTTTTACATGCTGGAGTCCCATCTGGGGTTCCCCCTACTGTCTCCCAAGATCATTCCCACATACCATTACACCAGTTATATCCTGGTGTCTATCCATAGACATATCCTGTCTATGTATGATCTGTTGACAAGCAACTTCCTTGCCCTTGTTCTACTTTCTAAGGGTTGGCGATCTTTAAATTGGACTTAGATTCATCAGCATTCAAATAGAGATGGCATTCTTTGTAAAATAGAACGTGCGTATCCCATTCAGCCTCTGAGCCAGGCCTTCTTCCTGAGCTCATGTTGGTTTTCCTGAACTTTTAGGTTCCTGCTGGTGAAATACAAGTCTGTAAAAATGATCTTGTTATTCTTTTCTCTTAAATTCAGCATCAGCCTTAGAGAGTTGAAAACGATACTTCCATCAGTAAACTTCAAAGTGAACAGTGTGAAGTACTTGAAAGATAAGTTTGCAGTAAGTATTTGTTTAGACTCACATATTACCATACACTTTACAGTGTTCCAAAATAATCAATTTTCGTGGGTGACCGTATCCAAAAATTAAAAACTGGGGTCCTGCTAGATAAGTACGGTAAGCATTCTCTCTTGGGCAGAGATTACTTTTTGTAAACTAGATTTCCTTTGCGTTACAAGTTACCGAATACAAGAGAAGCTCCTTTTCTTGGAAAGACTTAGAATGTGTTTCATTGGAGCACAGATTTTTTTTCCTCTTGGGATCTTGTTAGTGGCAGAGGGTAGGGCCCCTTCCCCCCTTTGCTGTTCAAAGGGTGCGGGGAAGGTGAGTAAATTGAGTTTTTCAATATGTACACTGCAATCACCATGACCTTCAGAGAGCCTTCCTACTCAACTCATATGGCATCTTTAGGAAACAGTAAGTGTTTGTGTGCTGTTTTCTTCCTGGCTAACGCTAGGAACAGCAGGAGAAGGGTTGCCCTCTGTGGTTGGTGCACTAGTCGTAACCCCATTTAGATTAAGAGGCCCGGCCGTAGTGACTCATGCCCACATCATCTTGTGGTTAGATTACTGTCATGCATTCTATCTCTGGCTGTCCTTGAAGATGACCCAGAAGCAGCAGTTGGTGCAAAATGTAGTGGCAAGGATGAGAGCAGATGAGAGCCAGTGTTGTAACGTAACAACTGTGGGCTACCAATAGGTTTCCAGTTCAAAATGTTGGTTTTGGCCAACCTAGCTGTTACAGATTTGCTCCAGGGTACTTTATAGACTGACTCCTTCTAATCAAGTCTGCTTCTCCAATCCACACTTTTAAGGAGGAGTTGCTTAGGGTCCTTTCCCTGGGAGAGATCAAGGGGACATGTGCCCGGAGGTGGTCCTTCTCTGTGATGGCCCCAATGTTAGAAAGCACCTTCTGCCCCAAGATTCGCCAGGAAGTTTTGTTACTAGCCTTTCATAGGATGGTCAAGATGATAGTTGGATTGGTGGGAGTTTTGATATTGGCTTTCTCTTGTTTTTTAAGGTGAGGCCGGCCTGCCATTTTTATTTATTTATTTAGTCCTCCTTGCATTCTGATATCTTTTATCTGGGTTGTTGAGTTCGTACGGATTCTCATCTGTGAGTACTGTAAGCTGTTCTGAGGCTTAGAAACCAGACAGCCTACACATTTATACAAATAAATAAATAGTAGCCATGTTCCCCAGTTGTGCACATACACAAAATCTTCATCTCTGTAATTTTGGTGCAGGGCAGTCATTCTGCTAGGTTCATGAGTACTACCTACCTTTCCTTCTCTCTGGGACAGGATAGATGGCTTTGGGGTGGATGTAGCTTTGGGGAAATCCAAATGCTGCCTCATTACTTATGGTTTGTTTGTTTTTTCACAGGAAATAAAAGCTGCTAAAGAAGAACTTAGCTTTGAGCAATTTCATCTTTTCTACAAGAAGATTATGTTTGAGCAACAGAAATCGGTAAATGTTCTGCTCTTATCTTACTTCCTCTTAATATGTAGAGTGTCATTATGTGTTGTAACCTGAATATAGCACTGGGCTAGAATGCATGTTTTCAGTCTTGTGCTTTATGCAAGCAAGATACCAAAGTTCCCTACTTTTAGTTGGGTAGATTCAGAACTATAAGAGACTGTTATTAAAAAAATAAGGTTAGAGTCGCTTGGGAGAAGAGGTAAGGAGCATGTTTTCAAAAATAGGAAAGACGTAAACAAAAGCTTTTGATGATTTTCAGTTGTTTGACCATATATTCTTCCCCAGGCAATAACTGTTTTATGGGGAAAACATTATTTGACCTCTTTTTGTCACTTTTCTCTTCCCAGATACTTGATGAATTCAAAAAGGATTCTACTATGTTCCTTTTAGGGTGAGATATTGTATGAAGCAATTTTATTCACATCTGTATCTAAAGTTCTTTGATAAGAATCTTCTCTGAGATGTAATCATGTTGCATGTTCCTGTTTGTCACAGTAGATTAACTAACAAGGCAAGTTTGACTCTGTTTGTGTATTATTTTAAGGAATCCTGGTTTAGTAAACCACACTGTGAGCAAACGTCCTCCTGGAGTATGCATCCTATTCATATTGATATAGCTTACATGAACCCAGGATTATGGTTCATTGAAACCAAATAAGCCATGATTTGTAAAGGAACTTTAAGCCAATAATAATTCTTTCTCTGTATCTTCTTTTGCTGTCCAGTGTTTTCATTTAAATCTGTCCCATTCTCTCAATTGATATTACTGTACTATTTTTCTTTTTGACCTACCCCACAATTTGGGAGGGGAAAAAAATTAAGGAAAATGACTCCAGAAGACAGTTACTTTTAAATGATGATAATTAAATCCTTTTTTCAAAATGTTTGAAGCAGTAAATAGCTCAGATCATAGTCTGCTGCGGTTGCCTTTGGTTAAAGACAAGGCTGTTCTTGTTTGCCAAGTCTTGGTCTCAGCGTTGTCAGAATACATACTGAATGTTGTGCATTTTTCCTCCAGTGTGGCATTTTCCAAATTGCTTTAACTTTCTGTTGCAGAAACACAGATCGGCCAGATGCATCAGCAGTACATTTGCATGATTTTCAGAGATTTCTGCTACATGAACAGCAGGTGAGAAGAGCCTAAAGCTCTTGTTTTTCAAGGTGTATGTATGGATGACATCGCGGTAAATTATGGTAGGGCCCATCAGTTGGATCCATGTCAGAGCAAAAGAGTAATGGTTAGGCGGCCACCTTATTCCAGAAGTTGGCCTTGAACAACACATTTTTAGATCAGATTTCAGAAGGAATCTGGTAACATCTTTTCAAACTAACACATTTTATTAAAAGGCATAAACTTTCATGAGTTCATGATAGGGTATGCCTTTAAATACAATTTGTTAGTCTGCAAAAGTGCTACTAGACTTCTGATTTTTGCCTATCATGGCTCTCCTCCTACAATGTCTACATTTATTTTTATCTGTAATTTATCACATAAAGCTCCATGCATTCTCCTCTGTGAAGTTAATATTTTCTTCGTCACTACCCTTCTTTGAAATACATTCATTTGTGCAGAGTGCAAGAGTTGATGTCTTTATAATGTTAAAATGGTACCTTCTGTTTAGTTCTTTTTTGCTAATTTGCATATTGACTGATTAAGCTTGGATTTCAAACCATTCATAAGCTGTAGCTGCAGTTCTGGGTGACTGTAAATATTGACACTAAAAAATATAGGCAGCTGCGAAGATTTTGAAGACATTGACTATACTTGATCATCTGTCTGAACAACCTAGTTGGGTTATGTGTGGGTCTGAAATTCCTTCAAGTGATTTACTTTCATGGCTCACTTATCAGCATAGCAGCCCTTGCCAGCTCATACCATTTTCTTGGGCCTATGTTTTTAATTAATGAACTAATTTGGGTTTACATCCCACCTTTCTTCTAGGAACTCATGGTGTGAGTATCGTAGTCTTTCCTCCAATTTTTCCCAGAACAACTCCCTTGTGAGATAGGTTTTGCTAATATTATGACTGGCCCAAAGTCCCCCAGGGAGCTTCTGTGGCTGAACAGGAACTCAGATCTGGGTATCCTTACTCCTAGTCCAACTCTTTCACCCCTATATCACCGTGTGTAATGGTATGTGGGAAAGACCTTGGGAGATGGGGCGAAGAGATGTTGCCAAGGGAACAGTTAGATAAGAGACAGCATAGCCCACAGTGGACAGTGGGCAGAGCAAAAGGCTCAGAAGGGACCCTCCTTAGTTTCTCAGGCATGTAAAGGAAATGACGGGAGATTTGTACTTTCAGACTTGCAAGATTCTATTAATGTAGCCTTACAATAAGGTAGAATTAGCTCATCTGGTCGTGTTTCCTGTCTGGTCTACCTGGGAAGGCTGACGCTCTGGCTTTTGGGCAGAGATGGAAGGACTGGGTCAGAGTCACCCTGGGAGCTTCCATGGTTGAGGGGAGGGGAATAGAGCCTGGGTCTCCCTGCTTCTAGTATAACACCTTTGCCAATCACTGCACCATCCTGGCTTTTAGGCTGGGCGGGAGGGACTGACCCAGAGTGCCTCCATGGCAGAGGGGGGACTAGAAACAAGGTCTCCCTGTTCCTGGTCCAGTATCTTCACCAACGACCACACCACCCTGGCCCTTGGGTTGAGGGGGAGCTTCTGTTGACTGAACAGGGATTAGAACCTGGGTCTCCTCACTCCTAGTCCGGCACCTTAACCATTGCACCACATTTGCAGTGTTCACCTGCTATGGCATCACTGTTTCTTTTTAAAGATGATACATTATATCAACTGTGGAGATGAACAGACATGTTTGATGTTGCTATTTGTAATTTCAGGAATCTTGGGCACAGGATCTTAGTAAAGTAAGAGAACGGATGTCCAAGTTTATAGATGACACTATGAGAGAAACAGATGAACCTTTCCTCTATGTTGATGAGGTAAATAGGGTTATTTGTTTGCAATATTTCTCCCATAAGAAATATTATGGGGCTCCAGAATCCAACCGAAGCCTAAATTTGCCTGTGTCTCAGTTTCTATAGTGCCAATCTGATGAGTCTAGACAACAATTATATCACCACAATAGCTCCTATCTACTGTCAGTTTGCACCCATGAGGTATATTGTGTGTACTCCTGTGCATAGTGCACACAAAGAGACACACCCACACACAATGTGCGTGTGTGCGTACGCATAAATATATTGTCATCAAGATGTAAAAATCTTTACTGAAGTTGTTCTGGGTAAATTGGTCATTTGCCCTTAAAATCATCTTAGTTGCTGCCATTTTAGGGCAGCCATGGCAATTTTAAACAATAATCCATGAAACGATACATTGGACATCCCAGAAGTAAAATCCATAGCAGTACTATAAAACAACATCAGAATATTTTCAAAGCTGGAGCATATTGAAAGGTCTTCAACTAGTGTCCCCAAAAAAATCACAGGAAGTGGTTTCAGCAAGCATCTTAAGAAAAGATATCCCAAAGACTTTTCCAATATTTGGGCACGGAAACCTTCAATTTTTTCATGCTTGGGACCCATTTTTAACTAGGTCGTTAACATGTGAATGGCTATAGTGATTTCTTTTTACTAGCCAAGTTCATGCTCTTGCTTTTACTTTGAGAGTGATCAGATGAAAGAAAGGACAGAATTTTTATATATATTTTTAAATTATATCTGCCAACATTCCCAGCTATTATGTTGGCCAAGTATCTAATAGAATGAATTTGTGTGGGGTGTCTTTCTGTCTCCCTGCTTGCCAAGCTAATCTTCCAAAATTCCTTCATCCTTGACATCTGTTTGCCTTTTTATTTCTTAGAACAACAACACATCCACAAACGAAAATGGGAAATGATGGGGTGAACACTGAATTGACCCATTTATTTACATCTCTCTCTCTCTCTCCCTCTTTCTTTCTCTGTCTTCCTGTGTTATAGTTTCTTACTTACCTTTTTTCAAAAGAAAACAGCATTTGGGATGAGAAGTGTGCCTCAGTAGACCCACAAGACATGAATAACCCTTTGTCCCATTATTGGATTTCTTCTTCTCATAATACGTAAGTTATCAGTCTTTTATTGTTCACCCTTGAAAACATGGAAAGCTTCATTTCAGTTTTACATGCTGTTCTTTATGTCTTAGGTATCTCACAGGGGATCAGCTTCGTAGCGAATCTTCCACAGAAGCCTACATCAGATGTCTCCGAATGGGGTGCCGCTGTATTGAATGTGAGTAAGCTCTTTCTCTCTTCATTCACTCCATACAAAATAATTTAAATTATACCTTTTAGGAGAAGTTATATTTGTTAGAGGAGCCTTATAATTTATTCTTTATTTGTTTATTAAACTAATGGTACTTTTGATGCTGAAATGCACCTGCGGTTCAGAGGGGAAAGATAAAATCACAGATACTAAAGTCATCAATTAAAATAAATGATTACCATCAGTTCTCATGAATTTCCTGTTGAGCTACTCAGGACTTTATTGTTCGTGGCAGCCACTGTAGTGAATGTTTATGTACTCCAGTGTTGTCCAAACTTGGCCACTTTAAGATGAGTGGACTTCATGCATGGCTGGCTGGGGAATTCTGGGAGTTGAAGTCCACTCATCTTAAAGTGGCCAAGTTTGGACAACACTGGAGTACTCCTTCTTTATCTGATATATCAAGAAACTGGCCCTGAAGTTCTTTGCTTTGATTAATAAAGCAGTCCTATAAAAATGGTGAATCAAAAAAGCAGAAAGTCAGGTGCAGAAATTTGTAGTTCAAATCCAGATTCCCAGTCTGTGCAGCTGCCTTTTTGTTCCTCAAATAAGAAATTCTGCTTTTAAAAAAATCAGGCTGACATGAAGAAGCGGAAAAGAAGCGATAAGACTTTCCTTTCTAGTATCTTTAGAGCTTCTACTTCAAGAGCTGTTTTGCTTTTCCAAATTAATAGCTGATAAGTATTTAATTTGTCACTGACACTTACTTATCGGGCAATTAAATATTTTACTTTATGTCCCCTTTGTTGCCTGTATTAGTGGATTGCTGGGACGGTCCTGATGGGAAGCCCATTATCTATCATGGATGGACACGGACAACCAAAATTAAATTTGATGATGTTGTGCAAGCAATCAAGGACTATGCATTTGTAACATCTGAGTAAGAGTTCATTATTTTTAATTACCCCAAGAGTAATCTTTTTCAGAATTTTCTGCTCCAAAAATAGATATAATATTTTGAATTCCGTATTCCCCTCTTTGTTCTTCTAACCCTCCAAGCGTGTTTGGCATTTAAAACATTGTATTACAGACTAGAAGAGACTTCACAGAATTCCTACTGCAGGATCCAGGGTGACCTCATGGCTATTTCCAATTGCTTTAAGTGACTTACTTGCTTTGCTAGAAAAGCTTTATTTCATTTCCTTAGTGCAATATTGGTATAAAGATCACCAGTTCAGAAATTGAGCTGCCATTGTCTACTGAAAGAATCATATGACACACAGCTAAAGATTAATTGAAAATAGATAAGTGACCAGTTTTGACAATTAATTGGCTCTGTTAGTAAAGAATTCTCAGATATATAAACAGATTCAAAGCCATCTACTATATTCCTTACATTTACCTCTAACTAATCCAATTCTAGCTTTACATTTCTCTCTCCCTCCCTCCTGCCTCCAAGGCTGTAGACTCTCTGAACGTACCCATTCCTTACAGGAAGAGCCAGAGTTACCATTCTAGAGTTTTTGAGTGCAAGGGTTTACACAATTATGCCCGTGGAAGAGATGCATGGAAAGAAATATCTCCCCTTTTCATCCAGGTAGACGTCTGGATCATCTAATTGGATTGCTTAGTAGTAGATTTAAGGCAGACAAAGAAAAGTGATTCTTCTAACAGTTCATAGCTCATGTATGGAGCCCCCTTTGTCAAACTGGGATGGTGAATTTAAGGTCATATGAGACACGTGCATTGAAGACCTGGATAGCCTGTTGATCGTTTGGTCCGTATTTGGGGGTTAGTAAAAGATGCATCACCTCTTTCTGGGCTCAGCCCCTGTTTCTGAGATATTTCAGAACTGCAGCTTCTCTATCCATTAACTGCACTTTCCAAGTTGATTAAACTATAGTTTCAAGGTTTGTGGGGACCCATTCTTGTAATGGCTAAACCTAGTCCAACACAGTCATGGTGGACCTAGAGGAATTCTTATTACCTTCTTCATTAGTATTCCTCCCTTTTTCTGAAGGTACCCAGTGATTTTGTCAATCGAGGAGCACTGCAGCGTGGAGCAGCAACGTCACATTGCAAAAGTGTTTAGGGACGTGTTTGGGGACCAGCTTCTAACAAAGCCCGTTGAAGCCAGCGCGGATCAGCTACCATCCCCAACTCAGTTGAAAGGAAAGTTTATCATCAAGGCAAGTTTGATTTGGCAGTAAAAGGATACAATAAAATGTATGGATGCTAGGTCTCCCTTCGTCTTGCCGTCTTGAAGAGAACTGAGATAGTTGTTCCCTATTCTTGATGACTCTCCCTGGATGATAGGAAGTATAACATTTAGAAAATGCCTGGGAAAGCCTTTTATTCTCCTCCTTCAGCTTTGGATTTGGTATGGTGTTGGCTTTCTACTGTCCATCGATCCATCCGTCCATCCATCCATCCATCCATCCATCCATCCATCCATCCATCCTTTTAAAAGTTGATTTAATGAAACAGAACAAAGAGAAAAAGAATAGAACAATAACAAAAGAAAATTTTTAAAAAGCAACACCGTAAAAAGAAGGATTATACAGAAGGGCTTCTCATATATTTATATGAATTGGTTTCATAATAAATGAATGTGTGGAGTTTTACAGAGCAGTTTCAGTAAAGGATAACTGTATTTCATTATAACCGTTCATCCGTAATCTGTGTCTAAAGGTAACTATTGTGTATGTTACAAGTCACATCATTCATTCAGCTGATCTAGTTGCACAGCAACTCAAGATGACCTACCAAACGCTGAAAACACGTCTTCAGACCAAACAGAAAGATACCAGACATCCTAATGAGAGAACAGTGGGCCGTGGGGAGAATCTACAGAAAGAATTAAAGTATCACATATCTGACGCAGGGCTTCGCACACCCCTTGCTGGAAGAGCTGGGATTTTAAAGTGTTCCTGAAAGATACCGGGGCATGACCATGCAGACTTTAGGGGGAATGCTGTTCCAGAGGTCAGGGCGGAGACAAAAGGGGCCTGTGTCTGCGTCTGCTAAGATGACATTGTTTTGACAGGATCCAACCCTGCCAGATTTTATAGGATGGGCAGGAACAGTTGGAGACAAGTGGCCCCATAGATTTCCAGGCCCTGAGACACAGGGGGGTTTATAGGTGACAGCCAGCACCTTGGATTACACTTGGAAGCCAGCTGGCAATTAGTGCAGCAGCTTTATTAAGCTGTGATAACTCTGTGGGTAGAGTTAGGGTTAAAGTGTCCTGTGTATGTTTTTTTAAACAGATGCATTCTTTGTTAAGTATCTGGATATTAATTTATATTAATAGCCCGTGATTGGTATTAAACAGAAGCAGTATTCCTTAAACTTTCCACAGTTAAAAGCCAGCTTTCAGCCAGATCAGGATTGAACATTTTTTAGAATAATTTCATTTCTAACCAACGCCTACTGTAAAACAATTCATCGGTGCTTAATCATTCCAAGCAAGGCAGCAGGTGTACATCTTGGCAGGGATAGTTTTCTTAGGAACAACTCCTGGAAATACAGAAAATATTTCCCTGGGTGTAGCAAAGGAAACTGACTTTTGTATTTGCATGTTTCAGTGTTGAATTGTTGAGCATGGCACACTGTTGTAATGTTAATCTAGAGTGTCAGAGACCCTCAGACAATGGAAACTGGAATTTTCCAAAGCAAGGACATGGTAGGCAATCAGGTTTTAGGCAGAGACGTTGATTTTTCAGTAAATCTGTGTAGGTTTCTTGAACAATTTAGACCCCTCATAGTTATTTTCTGTAATTAGAATTAAACAATTAAAATCAATTTAAAACAGCTGGGCGCGCGCACACACACACACACACGTATATATATATAATCAAAGATAAAACCAATTTATTCAATATTGGAAACCTTCCTTATCCCAAAATAAATAAGACTATTATCTTCTGCTTGGGGACTTTCTATAAACTCACATACTAAGAGAATCGTGACTCAAAGTCAAGTGGCCTTGAATCTCAGAAGATGGGTCTTGGTGGGCTTATGTGTGAGTAAATAATACTTCAAGAGCCAGTTTGTTGTGGTGATTTTAGGCTAAACACCAGGAGAGTATACCGTATATATAAATACCATATCATGAGTTCTACTCCTGCCTTACGCACGAAGCCACCTGAGTGACTTTGGGCCAGTCCCTACCTTGCAGCCCTAGGAAGAAGGCAAGGGCAAACCACTTCCAAAAAGGTTGCCAAGAAAACTGCAGGAACTCACCCATGTAGTCACCAGGAGTCAAAACTAACTCAAATAAGAGAGCCAGTTTTGTGTAGAGGTTAAAGGCACCAGGCTAGAAACAGGGATACCATGAGTTCTAGTCCCACCTTAGGCACAAAACCAGTTGGTTGACCTTGGGCCAGTTCCTCTCTCTCAGCCCTAGAAAGAAAGAGTGGCAAACCTGATCCAAAAATCTAGCCAAGAAAAGTCACCAGGAGTCAAGAATGTCTCAAAGGCACACACACACACACAGTGTGATACTTCAGACCCACATATCCCAAGATAGATAGTGTTTACATATTAGTACCAGCCCTTAAATTATGCTACAAAATGGGTCAGCCACTAACATGATCCTTCTTGGTCAATAGTGGAGCAGCAACATAGATAATCAGAAGTTAGTCATTATCGTGGGAAAGTAAAGCGAGAAAGCAGTTGGTCTTGGACTTGGAGTAGAAGACTCCTGATGCTGCTCATACCCTTCGAACGGGACATTGTCTTCTTTAAGGTTGTCTTTTAGAGCAGAAGCTCATTGGAAAGGTGTTGGAGGCTCATCCAAGGTGTTCATTTCTCATCACTGCTTTCTTCGTTTATATTAGCATAAAAAATTGGGGCCAAAAGGTGATGTAGATGTGAACACAGAAGATAAGAAAGAAGAAAAAAAGCAACAAGGAGAACTCTACATGTGGGACACCATTGACCAGGTAAACCAATTATTTTACTTCTTTGGTTTGGCTGGCTCATCATGGAGAAATGAGGGGAAGAGATATTCTGAGGAGGTTATCACCATCTTTCTCCGATTTGGGGGTGAAGTTGTCTTTAAACCATTTTTGGCATTGTAGAAATGGACTCGTCATTATTGTGCTGTGGCCAGTGGAAAACTCTCCTTCAGTGATGATATCGAACAGAATACCGAGGAAGAACCATCAAAGGTATTGAAACTCGTATTGTTATGTATTTTATTTGAAAAACTTTTTTCAGTATAGAAATATATAACTTGTATGGGCTTACTTATAATGGAGCATTAAAAAAAAAGTCCAGAATTAGTTTCTATTAGGTTGGAATTTTATGTTCCACAAAGTAATGCTCAAATTAAGCAGCATAATAGGCTTGTGCAGAGGTGAGATGTCAACCAGGATTTTCCTGGTTTGCACTCAGCCTCTGCTGGGCTTCACTGGCTATATGTGATCCTTTGACATCCAGAGATGGTGAGGGTCCTTAAAAAAATAAGAGTATGCATTCAGGTCAGATTCAGGCTCCAAAAGGAATTTCAGAGCATAGAGGTAGCAACCTTAGTCTTTAAAGCAGCTGCATCTTTTCCTGGGTTCACATGGCATCTTTGGAGGGGAGTTGTGTGATTTCAGGAGAAGATGCAGCTGCTTGAAGATATGTGCTACGTTCACACTTGCATATGCTCTGAAAACGCTTTGGAGGCTGAATTTGAAGCCCTGCACAGCTCGGCTTAAATAAGTGGTTGGCATTAAGGTGTGGAGTCTAGCAGGGTTTGTTGCTTGAGCTCCGAAAGATTTTTTCTTCTTGTGACCCCCCCCCACCCCCCAGCACTGTTCCTTCAGAGAAGAACATCATGATGAACTCTCTCTAAACTCAGTTGACATTTATTTATTTATTTAATTTATATGCTGCCTGATTCCCAGTGACTCTGGGCAGTTTACAGAATGTTTTTTTTTTTAATTAAAACAAGAAAATAACATAAAGCCAAAAAAGAGCAAACATGGCAAAGATAACTAACTTAGATGGGAACAAAGCAAAAGAAGAAAAGGGGGCTTTGATCACACTTGCCAAAGGCCTGGGCAAAGAGCCAGGTCTCTGGGGCCCTTCAAATATTATGCCACAATAAGTCACCACCTGGTGAGAAGTGTGACATGCAAAATTCAGGAGAAGAGATCTAACCACAATTTCTATCCATGTTTTGTCTACTTACCGCAGCCTAGCATGCTGAATTGGGTGGCGAGGATTGTCACAAAATGGAGCTGTTCCAGCCTCACCATTGCTCCAGGCTCTATTTTCATCCCTGTGGCATTGGGGGGCAGGAAACCCGGGCAGTGTGGGGACTCATGACCCCAGTTAGTCCACCAGAAAGTGCTGTTTTTCCCTTCTTCTTTCAAGTTAAAAAGAAAGACCCTCAAAACTAAAAGAGTCAGCTACCCCAGTGCTAAAGTATTGTAAAGTAAAGTATTGTAAAGTAAAATATCGGCCAGCACTGAAAATGACTAGCAAACCATGGTTCCTACCGAACCTGGTCAAGCTGCCTATGAGTACGGGGTCAAATAGCCGTGACAAATTGAAGAAGGATGAAGTCTTCTTTGTTATATTTTAGGAAGTGAAACACACTGAGCTGCACTATGGTGAGAAGTGGTTCCATGGGAAGATGAAAGAAGGGAGAACCACAGCAGAAAAGCTCCTGCAAGAATATTGTGCTGAAATGGGTGGCAAGGATGGGACCTTCCTAGTGAGGGAGAGTGAAGCCTATCCGAATGATTACACCCTCTCGTTCTGGTAAGGACTACTTTGGAACAAGCTTTTGGTGTACGAATCAAGTTTTGTTGCCTTTGGGAAGAAGCTGCATTTGGAGACCAAAAAAAAACCCGTAATAAAACTACTGCTGATGACAGGAGTCAATTTAGCAGGGCTGAATCTGGCACAGTATAATTCGTGAAAGATCCAACCAGTGCTTTAATGCTGCTCATTCTTTGAACCTGTTATGAAATGTAATGCTTATTTGGAAGTGGAAAAACAAACGTCCTGATTTAGATGTGTCCATTGTTTAGGAACTTAGCAAGCTGTTTCCTGAATTTGTTCTTAAGTTTTGGCCGTCTTAAAAAAAAAGTTTAAGGAGCACTCTAAAGCAGTGTTTTTCAAACTTGGCAATTTTAAGAAGTGTGGACTTCAACTCCCAG